AATTGGGGCTGATCGAGATTAAACTATTGTTGGGGTCCGGGGACATGTACCCACGAAATTTTGGTGTTCTAGAGGCCTGCAAATAATCTCTGATGCGCTTTGGGCTATCATTTTTTCTTTCTTATTTTCTCCTTTTTGCTTTAAAAAAAGGGGAGGGGAGAGGGGCGGGCCGCCCTGACTGTTGTTATTGCCCTTCATCTCTTTTTGGAGCGGCTAGGGTAATAAGAATAACTATATAGAGAAACATTTTATAATTAAAAAGTTTTCAAGAATATCTTTGTTTAATTAAAAACACAAAGCTGATGTTATTCACTGCTTCCATGTTTGTTACAGACATAGAACCTCCAGTTATCGAATGTCCTAATGACGTCTTTCTCCAAAGTGCTGTTGGAGTACCCAGCTTAACCGCAACTTGGAACCAAGCCAACGCAACTGATAATTCTCAAATAGCACCAAACATTACATCCACATACAGAAGTGGCGATCCTTTCCCAGTAGGATCAACAGAAGTGACTTATGATGCAACCGATGTTTTTGGAAATTCCGCGAGTTGTTTATTCAATGTAACAATTGAAGGTAATTAGGTCTACACAATAATTATATTTTAGGCCTAGGCCCATATTAAAGTGTGCATTCGTAAATATCTTATGGTGAAAATGATTTCGTTGCAGATTTTGTAACATTTGTAACTTTTACGCTCCAAGTTTTTTTTTGAGTTCCTTTTTTGCTTCTGATGTAATTTCCTCTTCAAAAATGGCCCTTGCCAATGAGTACTTTATATTTTTCCCCTCACCCACTATCTCAATTTGCATATTATTCTAATCTCGATACGAACATAATGGTATGTGACTTAGGTTTGGTTTCAGGAATAGCTTACCTTCATTATGTGTTCATATAAACGTGTAGATTTGTACACTTCCATTTTTCATTGCCAAGTCTAATAGTACCGACTGACCGACTAATCAACCAAACAATTATTGATTGTATTGTTTTGCAGCATATAGAACATTCTTGATTGAGATGCAATTCATAGAGGTAGATGGCTTGTCTTACATTTTCAGTGAAGCACTAGCAAATGCTTCATCACCTGATTATTTGTCGTTAGTATCAAAATTGTGCAATTCGGTAAGCCTATTTGATTAGTTATCAAATTTTATATTTGTAACATAATTTAATTTATTAGCATTAAACGATTAGGAAAATGCATTATATAAGTACACATTAAGTTTTGCAAGTGCTAGTAGTAGTAGTAGTAGTAATAATGATGATGATGATGATGATGATGATGATGGTAATGATGATGATGATGATAATAATAATAATAATAATAATAATAATAATAATAATAATAATAAGTTATTATTGTTATTATTATTATTATTATTTTTATCATCTGTTTTAAAATTTACAATATTGATATCATACTTATCGTTCATGAATATAGCTATCAATTTATTAGCTCTGTTATGATAGTTTTCGTGATTATGGTGTTTTTTATATTGCATTATTATATATATTGTTAATTGAATACACTTTAAAGTTTATTTAAATAACAAGTATATTTATTAAAAATATTGTACTGTATTCATGGATAATCTAGACCAGTATCAAGGGATGTTTACTACAAGAAAATCCTTATTCCTAGGCTGTAACTTACTAGAGGTGGCGCCAGGATTTGTCTTACAGGGGGCCGACTACCCTGACAGGGGTCGATGTCCCCGACGGAAAAAAAGTTGGCGTCGTCAAGTGTCGCTCAAAATTTCTCGAATGTGTTCCAAGGGACGAAGCCCCGAAAAAAATGTGACAATTTAGTTGTTTCAAAGGCTTATTTAATCGATTTTAGAGTCTACTAATACGTAGAAAATGTACATATACATTTATTTCTCCCTACGAATTTAGGATTTGTCCCCGACGAGGGAGGGGGCTGGCCCCCCTCCCTCCCTTCCGCCCGGCACCACCCATGTAACTTACATCGCAATGTACAGTATGTTATTAAGTAAAGTTAAGTTATACTCATTGTTTAAGATGTTACTATTTTCAATCCCATGAAGCTGGTTTCAAAATCTGTAACAGGGTGGGCTTTTTTCTTTCTGACTATCTATAATATATAAAGCTCCATTGTCACTAGTAACTGGCAAGTTATTTGCATTTGAATGTGGAATACATTTTTTAAAATACATCAAAGTAATAGGTTGTATGAACATAAAAAAATGTAATTAAAACGTAAAAGTGTACCCTTGGGATGCGTTCAAATTGATTCATCGAGTCTGAACTTCTTTATAGGGAGTTAAAATGTTTGCAGAATGTGGAATATTATATATGGATTGACTGATCACGCAATAAAAAATAGTACATATATTTTTGCTGAATTGGTAGTACCTGTACTTACAATTTGTGGAAGGGATTTTGGAGCAGCGGGAACGGTTTGCTTTCCCAACCTCGAGGGCGGGGTTTCAATCCCTCGCTGTGCATTTCGCTTGTGTCTCTGAGCAGGAAACTTTATCTGCATTGCTTCTCTCCACCCAGGAGTATAAATGGGTACCTGGTGGGTTTGCCTGCTCCTGCGCTGATTACCAGCAGCAACACTTAGCATGTGGGCCCAATGCCCAGGGAAAGGAACTGCGCTTTGTAACCGCAAGGAAGAGGCGCATTATAAAATACACATACCAGTACAAGTACCAGTTAATTATGGTTTCTTCCTGCAGGTAAGCAGTATTTCCGATTTGTGTGAGGTGAACTTTTTTACTAATGGCTCTGTTACGGTACATTTTGAGATAAGTTTTTCTCAAGGTACCAACTACACAGAGGAAAATCTTGGGACAGAGGTAAAACTTGCGGCCTCCAGAGAATTTAATATAACTTATATTAAAGTAACAGGTATGTACAAGTAATTGTTAATTGTTAAATTTATTGTTATTTATTTGTCATTGAAAAATATATTTAATGTTTTACGTCACCGTTCCGGAAGTATTGAAAAAATGAAATGAATATAATTATATGCTGCTCATGTATTCTATGCTGTATATTTTAACTTGATCATTTTCAGCCCCATGGTCCTTGATTTAATAGCCATTAGCTTTTCGCTGTGGTTGGGGGTCTGCTACCGAAAACCAAGAGTCCAGACATTAGGGATCCGGTAGCGGATTTCGACCAATCTTGTTCGAGCGATGTATGCGACGTAATGACAAGATTAAAATCCCAAAATAGAGCGCGATTCGCGAAAGAGCCATCATCATGGCGGCAACGTTTGCGCTGCCGGTGATGTGTTTACTTCTTACGAAGAATTATTGTCGCGAATCAAGCGGTATTAGGCCGAAAATTGTTTCGTTATATACAAACGTGACAGCAGAACTGTAGAAGCTGCCTCCAAAAGGTTAACGAATATTATTAAGCTTGAGCTCAAATACTACGAGGTAGTGTTTGCTTGTCAGCAGGGTAGAAGTAAGTTCAAGTTGAGAGGACAACATCGTAAGTTTAGTTAAAGTTGTGTACACTGTATAGTACAGTTTGCTATGTAATCAAGTTAGATTTTTGTGCCAACATGGATTTTATTTGTTAACTTTGTCATTTTTGGTGTGCTGAGTTAAAAACAAGGTAGGTGCCATTTTCTTAATCCACGTCATCAGCCGTCATTTTGAATTTTAAGATGGCTGACACACCACATGAAACATGGTTATGTTTGGTGTCAATTTAAAGGGAATTATGCACTAAACATTTTATTCCATTATACCTATACCTACTATTTCCCTGTCTCCGGGTGGAGAATAGGGCTTCTAGCACCTCTCCTCCACCAGGCACCTCTGTCTTGAGCTGCTACTGCTGCCTCTGCAAACGTTTGGTATCCCTGTTGGTTTCTTTCCTTTTCCACATTTCTTCTCCAATTTTTCTTCTGGCCTTCCCACATTCCTACTGCCCTCTGGTGTCCATGTTAAAACAACTCTTGGTATGTCATTTCTTTCCATGCGTAGCACATGTCCAATCCACTTCCCTCTCCTGTTTCTTACTATTTCACTAATGGTTTGATTGTTTGCCCTTTGTTTGATTTCTGCATTTGTAATCCGCATTGGCCAACGTGTTTTCAATATTCTTTTCAGTGCCTTATGTGAAAAGGTGCCTAGTCTATCCTCATCACCTTTAGTCATCTTCCACGTTTCACATCCATACAATGAAAACACTGATCACATTGGACTTGAACATTTTGAATGTGATTCTGTGTGTTAATTGTCCACTCCTCAAATACACCCCAGGCTTTTCCAATCCTTTGCCTCATATCCTCTACTGCACCACCAGTTTTGCTGACTGTCGCTCTAAGGTATGTGAACTTTTCAACATCCTCAATTTCCTTCCCCTCTATAGTAATTAGCTCTCTACTTTTTACATTCAATCTCATCTCTTTAGTTTTGTTTATGTTAATTTTCAGCTCAGTTGATTTTGCATGTTCATTCAAATGATTGAGTTTGTCTTACATCTGTCTTCTTGTGTTTGATAGTAGGGCAATGTCGTCGGCGAAGTCTAGGTCGTCTAATTGTTCCATCTGATCCCGTTTTTTCCAGCTGATACGTCTTCTGCATCACCCAATCAATGACAGGTAGGAAGAAAAATCCTGACGTATTACAGTCTTGTTTTACTCCTGAGTTTACCTCAAACCAATTGGTTCTTCCACTTTCATCCACTACTGCGCATTGACTTCCATCATACATTGTCTTGACCACTTTGATTAACTTTGGTGGTGTTCCATAGTGGCGCATGATTTCCCACAGAGTCCTCACACTATCGAAAGGTTTTTCAAAGTCTATTAATTAAGTGTATATGTTGGCATTCCATTCCATTGCCTGCTCCACAATGTTTTTCAGGACAAATATCTGCTGTGTTGTGCCTTTTCCTCTGCAAAAACCTGCTTACTCGCTTCTCAATTTATTGTCAACTCCTCCTGCAATCCTTTTAATTATCACTCTGCCCATAACCTTTGCTACCACTGATAGCAATGTGATCCCTCTCCAGTTGCCGCAACTTGCCAGGTCTCCTTAATCTGCGAGCTTTATGATAAGTCCCTTCTTCCAATCCCCTGGCACCATTTTTTTGTGCCATACTTCTGTAAAAAAAACACCGTCAATCCTTGGTGCCTTTCCAGCCTTCATCTCTTTTAAGGCTTCTATTACTTCGGCTTGCGTGGTGGTTCTGTCCGTATGTCCTCTAGAATCATCAACTTTGACAATTCTCTCAGGATCCTCTCTGTTTAGCGCTTCGGTAAAATGTTCTTTCCACCTGCCCCTGGTCTTGTGTTCATCTGTCAACAGATTCTCATTCCTGTCCTTTTCCATTCCATTCTTTTTTGGAAAGTCATTGCACAGCTTTCAAGTCGCTTCATATACTGTTTTAATTTGGCCCATTTCAGCTGCATCTTGCGCTTCTTTCGCTATATTGTCAGCCCAGTTCCTTTTGTCTTGTCTTGTAGATCTTTTAACTTCTCTATCCTTGCTGTTATTATCCTGTCGTTTACTGGTTTCCATTTCATAAGTCATTTTGCGGTTTCTTTTCCTATGATGATTGCCACACCACTCTGATGCTTATTTTCTTTTCCTGAATAGACTATCGTTTCTTCAGTCTGTGTTTTTAATTTCCCAAAACCAGTCCATCTACATTCGCTGATGCCCAGAATGTTAATGTTGTATTTTGTCATTTCCTTAACCACTTGTGCTGTTTTTCTTGTGCTGTACATTGTTCTGACTTTCCATGATCCAATACGGACCATGGATTTTGGAGTAGCAAACGACCTGTTCATCTGCATGTGAGCTTCCTGACGGCTTTCACCCACACCCGTCATATCTTCACGGACCCATGTAAGAAAGTTATCTTTAGCTGTCCGGCAGGTCGCGCAGCTTCTCTTAGAGTTACTTAGGTTCATTGAAATGCTATTAAACATAAAACATAGTTAAGTTTAGTGTCAATGGAAAGGGAATTATGCACTGATCATTATATTCTAATACCTAATAATACATATTTACAGAGATATAGACCAATGAATAAAGTCACATGATCCAAAAGGTCAACAAAAATTAAACTCACTAAAATCTATCGTGTTTGGTATCGTTGAAAAGCTCTTCCAAAGTTTACAATACACATTTATTTAAAATGGTTTAGTTTTCCATATATTATCCCATATAGTCCAATTACGCCATACGATATTAAAATAAACAGGACCCAGTTGCGTAATTAAGTTGCGTAACCTGTTAGTGGCGGTTTTCATCGCTGTTGGTTTTATACTGAATAAAATAAAATAAAATAAAGTAATGCTTGTGAGCTCTTGGGGTGGGGTAGACTCCTACTACTACCTAGCACTTTACCACCGAGCCTTAACAGTGGCGTAAAGCATGTGGTTTCTGTGCTAATTCCCAGTCCAAATGGGTCCCGGAGTGGCCACAAGCGCTCTTACTAGTGTACTACTGTACAACGCCTTGACAATACAGTATGTTTTTCTATAATTTTTAAAACCAAATAGATCAAAATCCCAGAAAGGCACTCTATGACAGATTTATTAGGAGGGGTCCCTCCAACTACGACCCAGCATATTCCCAGGTAACAATCCCATAAGGGACCCATATGGTGCCCATATGCAGATCTATATGGGTACCATATGTGCAATCCTTGAGGAAACCTCCGGATTCTGCACCCAAGTTCCATGTGTGACCCATATGATTTAGCCCACATATCCCAGATATAACCAATTTGGGGCCCACATGGAACCCACATTAATTTGTATGTGGGTGGCATATAGGTTTCCAATATGGGACCTATATTTTCTGACCCATATGGGTACCATATGTGCTATCCTCGAGGAAACCTCCGGATTCTGCACCCAAGATCCATGTGGGGCCCATCTGATTTAGCCCATAGCCCAGATATAACCCATTTGGGGCCATATGGAACCCACATGCATTTTTACATGGGTTTCCCATATGGGACCTATATTTCCCGACCCATATGGGTACCATATGGGCTATCCTTGAGGAATCCTCCAGATTCTGCACCCAAGCCCCATGTGGGGCCCATGTGGTTTAACCCATAGCCCAGATATAACCCATTTGGGGACCATATGGAACCTATATTTCCCAACCCATGGGTATGGTATGGACTAGCCCTTAAGGCACCCTCCAGATTCTGCACCCAAGCCCCATGTGGGGCCCACATCTTTCAGAGAACCCATATGGGGCCAACATGGTACCCTTATGCATTTGTACATGGGTGGCATATGGGATTCTCACATGGTACCCATATGCAATTGCACATGGGCGGTATATGGGGCCTCTTATTTTCTGGCCCATATGGATGTAATATGGGTTTGCCCATATGAGGCCCCTCGTATTCTCCACCAAAGCCCCATGTGGGACAAACATGGTACCCATTGCAACTGCACATGGGTGGTATATAGGTGTCCCATATGTAAGGCCCATATTTTCTCGCTCATATGGATGACATATTGGTTTGCCCATATGGGAGCCTGTATGGCGCTGACATGGCCCAGAGAGAACAAATATGAAGGCCACACATTTCTGACTTGGCTTCTAACTCTGGTTTGAATATTGGCTGAGTCGATGACCATGAGCTAGGTGTACATTTCAACAAATTACTCCTTTTCTGAAAATAAAACTTTTCAATTGCATGAAGAATACAAAATATTTTTACTTCAATGATTAAACAAACGGTTATTTCATTTTAACACATCAATCATTTTATTTATTTTGTAGAAAAAGCAATATTGTCAATTACAAGTACAAAATAGTGGTAAATGAAATCAAAATTTCTTAATATCCCTAATAACTATACAATTCAATTTCTCCAGCTCCTTGGAAAGTAAGAATATTCCATCATTTTGATCGCATTGGGAGTATCACATATTTAACGTTTTTACAGATTATGAATACTGTATCCTCAACTTGATAGGGTCCATGCAAGAGTGTATCAATACGAATCGTCAATAGTTTCACCATGAATCATAGTAACAGACAGTACGAATGCCTTTTTCCCTCATACTTTCACAAAAGTTATTAAGAAAGTATTCAATCGTCTCCTCCTTTTCACATCTAGTTGCATCCTCGCATTTCAGAATTCTGCAAACTGGCCCTGAGAAAAAAAAGAAGACCTAAAAATAATAGCTTTTAAGATTTACTCACTTAGATTTATCAAATAAAAAAAAGCCGTGCAACACAAATAAAATATTGAAAATTAGTGTTTTCACTGACTTTGGCTTTTGTGCAAATTTACTTTAGGTCTGAACTGTTGATATAGGTGACATGTCTCCTAACACCTTTGGGATTACGCACAATCATCACAGCACATTTATGACAAATTATTACGTTTTTTATGCATTAGAAGGGTGAAGAGGATGTGAATAAGAAGATCTAATTTTAATTACGATAAAGTATTTTTACTGGGCTTCAGCGTTCGATTTACCCAGTATCGCATCGCAAAATGTGACAGGTTTTACGCTAATTGCGAAGCACTTCCACAATTGCATCATAGATAAATGCAGCGCAATTATTTGCCTAGAATTAACCACTCAATTTTCAGCAAGGCCTGGTTGTAAAAACTAAGAGGCTTGGTGCACAAAAAAATTTCAAAGAGGTTAAATTACAGCATTACAACTAATGTAAAACAAGAAACTTTTGTGACATGAAACTTTCGCAAATTGATAAGGGCACATATAAAAAAATTGTTAGATTATCACTCCTGCGCACATTAACTATTTGGAAATATTGATGCGGGAATAAACAAAACCCACCCTCATCACATTTTTTTTAAAGGAGGGTATTCTAATAATTCTTTCTTTCTGAACTTTAAGGGTCTCTCATTATTCATATACAAAAAATAAAGGATCGTCGGGCATGGAACGCGACACGGGTGGCTACACATACACATGTATAGACCTAATACAGTATAATTCAAACTGAAAAGTAACTTATTGGGCCCAATATACAGAACAAAGACATGCAGAGTTTCTGTAACTCCTTTTCTGGGTGCTCCCATCGTCATGAGTATGGCGTATATACCTGGCACCCCATATTCACCTATTGCCATATATACTTGTCACTATTTGATGTTACGAATTATATACTGTATTCGTTATTAAGATTGAAATGATACTGATATATTTTTATTCTAGTGCAACTCCAAGTATGGCCTATAAAGCCTTTATATAACCTTTTTTTAGTTACAAATACAATTGCATACAGTAATTTGTTGTAGGGTCAGCATTTTAGTTGATTTTATGTTAGTCGAGAGTGCTGACCTATTATTGCACAGGATTTCTAAACTTGAATTTCGTCATTGACTAAATGACAATATCATGCAATGCGGTGTAAGCGTTTCCTTTCTGCGGTGTGTATAAAACCAGCTCTTCATTGAGGCACGATAAAGGAAGAGACATTTATGTAAGCAGTTATCACAAGCTTGTTTTTATCGTTTTGGTTGCAGTCGGAAGACTGCAGGAAAATACAGTAGGTTCAGCGAAGCGAGATTGCACATGCGCTAGTAATGCCTTCATGACACTCTAATGAATAATTCATAAATTTTTGCTCAACTGACCTACGAAAAAAAAAAAAATTTGCATCCGGTACCCACAGCGTTACCTTTTTCATATAACTTAATTTCCTACGCCGCGTAATGAGACAGTTTAATATTGAACTTTACTTATTTTTATTGTCGAGTTATGTGCCTTGCAAAAATGTTAAGAAACTATTGAAAATTAATTAAAATACAAGACACAAGATACAAATGGGACGTCAATGTAAAATATTTAAAACCGGACTTAAAACAGTGAACCGTACATACATAAAATAACAAATATTTAGGCGCTGTATACATTCTTGTACTATTATTATTTTGTTCAAATTAACAAAAGTAATCATAACAATATTTATACAATTATATATATTTAAAGTTAAATGTGTTAATTTCTTGCTTATTCCAACAGCCTCACTATTCTCAATTGAGTTACAGTAAATGGTGGTTTGTATCTACAGACACTAAAGAAAAACTAATACAAAGGAAATGTATTATATTAGTTGAATTCAAATAGAATGCGTCTATAATTAGAATTAACTAGATTGCTTGTGATGTTAGTTTAAGTTATTGACTCAATTTAAATGGCTCAATGATACTGTGTTCTGGCACCATTACAGATCTGAATACACCAACTCTTGTGTGTCCAGTCAATCAACAATATTTGACAGACGATGGCTGCTTTGTTGATCCTAATTTTGACGTCAATGGCACTGATCACATTAGTAATTTGCTCATTGCTACCTGTACTCCAATGACTTTCAATAATACTGGAAATTTTTCAGTAACATGCTCCGTTACGGACATGGCAAACAACGTTGCTTCTTGTTCATTCTTCTACACAGTTTCAGGTAAGTAATAAGACATCATGGATAGTAATATTACGTGTAATTTTATAAGTAATGTTATCATTATTATTATTATTATTATTATTATTATTATTATTATTATTATTATTATATTATTATTTTTATTATTATTATTGTTATTATTATTATTATTATTTTATTATTATTATTATTATTTTGATTATATAATCAATAAACAGTTTTATAGCATATTATCAATTACAAATTATCGTTTGTTGTTGTTTTATATGTAGGTCTTAAATATTTGTTTATTTTTTGCATTGCATTCAGATCTTAGAATAATTTTTATAATTAGAATTCAAATTTGTTTGAATACTATCATACGTTTATTTAGCCATTTAATGTCTAGTGCTTTTGAAAGGACAATATTTGAAATTATTTTATAATAATAATATCAATATATGTATTCTTGTTAATCCATTTATTATTTTATCATACATTCGATTCCATATAGCAAATAAATATTTGGTGTAATTTTATTTATCTGTAATTACAGATGTTACTCCACCTAATGTGGCGTGTCCAAAAAATATTACTGTTGATACAGACGTAGGTGTAAATACAGCAGCAGTAATATGGAATTCTGCAGTTGTTACTGATAACTGTTGTGGAGATGATGTTAATTTGTACTCTAATGCTACAAATGGTACCGAATTTCATATTGGAAATACTATAGTAGCATTCATAGCTATGGACTGCAATGACAACCAGAATGAATGTTTATTTAGTATTGAAGTTGAAGGTACAATGTATATTTATATTTCGCTTTCCCTACACATTCGATTCAATGGGGGTACTACACACTTTAACCTGTACAATTTTATATGTGTAATATAGAATGCAAAATCCGTATAGTTTAATAAGTACAGATTGCCGAATCCGTAGACTTATTTCCTTTGATAATCTTAATTAAATGTATTACATTTATATTTAATTTTATTTCTACATCTATCAATACCTTACTTTAGACATTTAAAGAATGAAATGGCATGGTACTCGTTTAACTGCATCCGTTGTGTTAACTGAGTGGAGTGTTCTGTTGTGAGAAACGTTCTCATGGTTTAGAATTTGACCCCTCAAACAAGTAATTGGAAAGCAAACACTTTGAACACTTAGGTACTAAATTTGAATTAAATTTAAATGTTCTAATTGCAAATGTTGTAATGTTGTTTCTCTGTCAGATAATGAAACACCAGTGCTTAACTGTCCTCCAAACCAAAACGTAAGTGGTGATTCTGACTGCATGGCATCGGCTACCTGGATGCCACCAAATGTCACTGACAACTCTGGAGATATTTTAACCCCAATGTGTGATTATGTGAGCGGTAGCACATTTTCGGATTACAGCACTATTGTAACTTGCAATGTAACTGATAATTTTGACAACACTGACTATTGTGCCTTCAAAATTACAATATATGGTAAGTTTTTTTTCAATAGTTCATTATGATATGCGAAATTTGAGAGACCAATAGAGCAATTCCAATTTTGGTAGAATATATTGATCACGGAACAGTGAAATTAATTTCACTGTTCCCTGATTTTGATACATGTTTGCGTAATAGTCATGTTTGTTGTATTCAACTGGGCATACATTAATTAAATGCGTTAATAAATGTAATATAATTATGACCCATCTGAAAATATTTGTCTATTGTAGTTACATGAATTTACAAAATTGAAGAGGACCTGAAGGGCTTTTTGTCATTTTCTTTAGTACCGTCACACATGATAGTTGGATGACCTATTTTTTAAAAATAAACGCTAAGTTAAATAATTCATTTAAACTATAAAAAAAAATGTTCCATACAATAAGTCAGTATAGTATCATTATTGAATCTTACAATGTTTAAAATTAAAAAAAAGATATTAAAAATTGTTTTATTTAGATAGTTGTTAATTAATTGTGTTCTATTAGATGATGAAGACCCAGTACTTTTCTGCCCAGCTGACATAACGGTTTGTGCGCTTTCTGGTTCTATAATATCACCTATATTTTGGGAATCAATCAACACAACAGACAACTGTTGTGACAATGTCAACATAACATCAAATTACACATCTGGAAAAGAATTTGAAATTGGTGAATATGTAGTAACATACACCGCAACAGATTGTTGGAAAAACAGTGCATCATGTAATTTTAGTATTGTGGTGCTGGGTAAGTATTCTTTATTCAATAGGCCTACTCTTTGTTATTGTCTTTACCGTAACTTAATCTGTAATAAGAATAATAAATAACTATAATAATGCACTTACAATGCACCATCAATATAGATAAATGTATAACATAATATACAGAAATATGAAAATAAGAACATATTTATTATTTTATAACTATAATACCAGAAACAACCAAATATTATGAGCAACTTCAAATAAGTGATACTTTATATTATTTTTCAAAACGTGAATACAAAACGTGTAATGTTTTAATAGTAAGGCATTCTGAAGTTTAGTTATTTACTTAGTTATAGATCCGTTTACTAAATTGTTATTATTCAGATTGTGATGCTCCAGTCTTAGAATGTTCACAAGACCTTGAATTCAATGCTGACCACAATTGTAATTCCTATGTAAACTGGACTGAGGTGAAAGCAACTGATAATCACGACAGCGATGTAACTGTGTTCTGTAATCAAAGTGAGGGTATATATTCATTGGACAACTACACGGTCAACTGTAATGCAACGGACATTGCAGGCAATACTGGTTATTGTTCGTTTAATTTCTATGTTATTGGTAAAGGTATGCAAGCAAATGGAACTCATAATCTTCTATCCTAATTTTTTTTTGTATATTATTAACTAAATAATATTACATGTATATTCCTAAAAATGTATATCATGCTAACCATAATACAAATAATAATACAAATTTCTTGTAATTTATACATTTATTTATTTATTTTGATTTATTTAATTTCATAGATATTACTTCACCTATGGTGTCGTGTCCACACGATATTACTGATGATACCGACATGGGTATGAATACAGCAGCATTGACATGGGACTCTGCAGTTGCTACTGATAACTGTTGTGGAGACAATATTAATTTGTACTCTAATGCTACAAATGGAACCAGTTTTTATATTGGACTTACTAAAATAGCTTTTACAGCTGTAGACTGCTATGGCAATCGAAACGAATGCGTCTTTAGTATTACGGTTGAAGGTACAGCTTTCAATTACTAATGTATTTTTTTAGCAGTAAATCAGGCCTTTTTAAATTACATAACCATGAGCACCTAGCTTTAAAAACAATAGTCTACTTTAGATAGTATTAATAATATCGTTTTAATAAGTAGGCCTATTTTTCTTAATTCTAACTACTATACAGATTTGTAGGATTTTCTAAAAATGTGTTGCATTATTATTTTTATTAAGTGGATTTAATATTTGTTTTGGGTAGGTTCTTCATTTAAAAAAAATACTGTTGTTGTTGAGGGACATACACTTTATAGATTTTAAAGCAAAAATATTTGTTTTAATTATTATTGATAAAAGTACACGTGATTTATTTGCGGTTTAGAAATATTCTAGTTTGTCTACAGCAGTACCCATGTGGAATACCCTGCCTCTTACCTTTAGAAACAGCCTAACCACGCACACTTTTAAGCAAAGTATTAAATTATTTTATTCGATCTCTTTTTAAATAAGTTTATGGTAAATAAATTTTGCAGCTGGCTGTCATGTTGTCGATGTGCCAAATGTCGCCCAATTTAAATTTCTGACCACTATGTGCAATTCTTTAAAGTTTCTCTTTGAGTTTGTTTTATTATTTGTTTTATGCCTTGAGTTCCATTTACAAATTTTAGTGTTACATGTTAAAACTTTATATACTTGATTTTATATGTTGGTCTGTGCAATTCGGGATCGGCCGCTATCAGAGGTGTGATTTGTTCACCTGTTGGCATTTTCCCGTCACCGGCAATCTTTTATTTCATTGATTTTTTTTTAAATTGTATTTTTGCCTGTGTGAAATCGAATAAATAAAAAATAAATAACTAAATTAAGCAATAGTTGTTTAATGTCTTTCTAATCAAAGCTTAAATCTTTATTCTGACTGCAATGCGACTGTCATATGGTTTGTACCAAAGTTTACAGACATAATTTGAAAGTAAGTTTAACACCATGGCCACTATGCAATTTCTCTATGTTATTCTTTTCTAGACAATGAAGCTCCAATACTTGAATGTTCGCTGAACCAAAATTTAAGAGGCGATTCTGTTTGTATGGCAACTGCCACCTGGATGCTACCAAATGTCACAGACAACTCAGGAGATAATTTGACCCCAGTTTGTGATTCTGTGAGCGGAAGCACATTCTCAGATTACAACACCATTGTAACCTGCAACGCCACGGACAACTATGGCAACACTGGAAGCTGTACATTTTCGATCACAATCTATGGTAAGGTACTGTAATCACTTAAGCTTTAAGAGGCACTGTTGTCATAGTGCTACTGTTAAAGCAGAAAAAAAAAACATCAATGTGTTGCCCAAGCATTAAAATGTAAATACAGAAATGATGATGATGATGATGGGATGATGATGGTGATAGAAGGGGGATGATGGGGACATTGACGATGACAAAATTGACAATGCATGCTAGTTTTTTCTGTGTAAATAGATGAAACTGCACCGATTCTGACTTGTCCCGATGACATTGAGGTATGCACCGGCTCCGGAATTGCTTCAGCTAATGCCACATGGGAATCAGCCACTGCAACGGACAACTGTTGTAGTGATGTCAACATAATTTCCAACTACACAAGTGGTGATAGTTTGTTACTCGGTGTATACACAGTTGGATATGCCGCCACCGATTGCAACGGAAATACTGGTTACTGCCAATTTACTGTAATTGTTAAAGGTATAACAATTTGATTATACAAATAGACAATAATAGAAGTTTACTTGTGCAACTATTGTAAATGAATTATAAATCTATATAATTAATTGTCAATACAATGAACATTATCTATTTATATGGTTACAATGTATAGACTGTGAGCCTCCAGCACTTGAATGCCCAAGAGCTCAATACGTAGCTGCTGATGAGAATTGCCTAGGAAATGTTACCTGGACAGCACCCATCGTCACAGACAACTCTGGTGATAGCTTCATAGCAGTATGTGATTATGTGAATGGAAGCACATTTTCGTATCTCAGTACCATTGTAACCTGTAGTGCCACTGATAATTATGACAACACTAACTACTGTACCTTCGAAAGTGCCATCTATGGTAAGATAACTTTTTATGTTTTCATATTGTTAGCAAAATTGTATTCCTGACTAGTAAGCATTATGTTTCAGGTTAGTCTGCTGTCAATGAATAAAATCTGATTTCAAATACATTCAAAACAGCCTTTCTCACATTTTTGTGGGCGATTTTAATATATATA